AATTCATTGCTTTGAAGTCTTAGGAACGCCATCATTATTTGGTCGACTGTTATGTTATATGTGTCACAGATGACCATAGTTATAATCATGTCGTAACCGAAATCAAACTCTCTTGTCCTCGATAGTGAAATCACCGAATGTAAATTATAACTGAAGGCTTACTCGCCATGAGAAATGTGACAGGTGCCATCAGTGTACCTGGAACTTCTTACCTCCTTTCCGGAGAACCTGAGTTTGTTCACGTACTTTGTAGACTTTTGCTTGGTGTTATATCTTTCTGGTCATGGTGTTGTCTGCTTTTTAAGATTATGTTTTTGATTGACACCATGGTTTCTAATAATCTTTTTTCAATGGCTCACATCTCTAGAATTTATTGTTCACTTGTTTTCGTCCTGAATATGCATGAACTAAATTCATTTATTTTTTGAATACTGCATGTGCACTAATGAACTTCAATTTTTAAAATTAGGAAACAAGAGATTTTTCATTTTTATTCATGGTGTCGAACTTTTATTAGTACATTTGATGACTCTTGCTGGTGCCAGTTTTTAATCATTTGTCCTAGTATCTAAACAGAGGCAACGTTTTCCTTTCCACTTGATATTCAGAACACGTTATTTCTGACTTAAAATACGTGAGCCATCGATGTTTATCCTGCCATTGATTTTGAAATTGTCTTTCGCGTTTATTTTCCTTTTTCGCTTTTTCTTCTCTCCGCCCGTTTTGTGTAATTTTATCTTTTTTCTATTTTCTTCCCTTCTACTTAGCGAAGGCGGCTCATCCTCGACTTGCAACTACTGGTTATTACTTTGCACTTATTTGAAGCATATTGTACATGTACAAATTCCAAATGTTTCGGGGGAAAAAGGCGGTTTCCGATCAGTTGGCATATCATGTTTGCATTATAATATCGTCATAAACACAACCCGTCCTCTTTTCCTCGATTGTGACATCAACGATTGTAAACCTACCATGAAACATGACGTGTGTCACATGTTGAACAAGATTTGCTTACCCTTCCGGGCATCTGAGATTACTCCGAGTTTTTTGACTGGGTTCGATTTGTCCATTCTTTTGTTTTGTAATTAGTGTTTTGTGGACGTGTTTGTCTTTTCGAGATATGAGTTTTGGATGTGCCCTTGGTATTTTTTGCCTCTTTTTTTATTGATTTTGTTTTTCAACTGTTCTGATTCGAGCGTCACTGATGAGTCTCGTGAAGACGACAGAAGCATCATAAAGCATAAGCAACAAAGATTTATTTTAAGTCGGATATACTACATATAACAATACAACATGAGCTCTGTATGCTTTAAACCAGCATACATATGATAAACACAAGACATAAAACATAGATAGCAGAAGGCACGTCATGCATAGTATAAATTTTACTAGCTAACACAGCAAATTATATCAAGTTATGATTTAAACCAAACCAATATATAAGCTCTCAGCTTTCTTTTTCAAAAGTATCTACAACAGGTGTCTATGTTAGAATGTGAAAATGACAAAGAATTATCATTTGCAAAATTATATAATAAGCTACTTGACACAAAATAAAAATATATATTTAAAAGTACAGGGCCTAATATAGAGTATTGCGGCATCCTGTTATATATATCTTTCCATGTTATTATGTCGATACCAACTTTTACACATTGTTTTATTTTGCTAAAATAGCTATCTCCATAGTTTATAGCTGATTCAAATAATCCATATACATTCAGTTTCAAAATCAATAAATCAATCCACCAACACAGCGGCAATATGTTGATTACTACCAATAGCCTTTTTATGATCCTCAATTTTTTTCAGAAATGCTGCCTGGCAGCCGTATCCTGCAAGAAAGCCAGATAAATATGGATGAAATAAATTTTGAAAAAATCAGCTACATGTAGCTACCGGTAGATGGCTCTCTCGAAAAACTTCGACACAACAGGTATAACAATTTGTGACCTACAATAGTTAACAACTTCAAGTTGATTAATTTTCTTGTGAAGTTGCACCACTTGAGCATCCTTTATTTTGTCAGGAAATATAGAGTGCTCAATAGATTTATTTATTAATTTTGTCGCGTCTGATGGTTTTGCCCAATTCAGTATTTAAACGGATAAATCATCTCTACCTGTTGCTTAATTTACACAAATTTTGTTCATTTGTTTCTCAACAAAACTTTCTTTAACAAATTAAAAAAAAATAATTACATTCGCTTCAACGCGTCTTGCTTACTAAACTGTAAGCCTTGAATCTTTGATGAGTCTAGACATTCTCTCAGGTATTTTTTTTAATCTAAATAAGCTACTGAACATATTGTGAATCTTTATCCACTTTGAACTCCGCAACTTTTATATGCGGAGCTGGATCTACTTACCTTTCCGGAACACTTTCGCGTCTCTTTTATATGTGTGTTGCTCTCTCATTTTCGTTCATAGTATACGGCGTTTAAAAGGCATTATTATAGTAGTTCAATTGATACAAATATTTTAACTTAATAAATGCTAGAAAACTTACAAAATTTATAAAAGAGCATTTGTATTTTATGTAATACTAAATATTTTATATAATGAATGATTATTAATGCATATTTTACTATGTTTAGCAGTGCAAGATTTTCAACGTATGCGTATATTCAATTATTTTTCCCCGTGTCTTTATGTTGTTGATCAAGTGAGCATTTGCTGTTTAAGATAGCATTTCACGCAATTGTAAGATTTAGTACCCTTACACTATGTGGCCTGTCCCTTCAGGTTTTGTATATATAAAAAAACTTCTGTAGAATACGTTATTATATTTGAATGGTTTGTAGTTAAGGATGGTCGCTCCTCTGGGATTTTGAATTTTTGTCAGATGTTCGGAATCCTCTGGTTAACCGTTTTACCCATGTAGTGCCATTAAAAAAATTTGCCCATTAACCCCTACTTTTCTTTTCATAATTTGATTACATATAGTTTAAAATGTCATCTTTGTAAATCTTATAAAATCCTTGTTATTTTTTCATCGGATTTGATAGAAAAAAGGTGCCAATGTTAAATGTATGAAAATCTAGAGAGAATTATTTCCCGCCAAATTTTCAATGGCTTATATCTCAAAAACAAGCACACGGACACTTCATTTTTTTCTGCTTTTTCAGTTTCTTTATTTATATACAATCAATTTATATCAGTCTTTTAAAAAGCTTGTTATTTTGAAACAGAGTAGCGAACATCCTTTAGTGTAAGCTGTTGCGATGACCTTAACACGTGCTTGGTCATTATACTTCTTATAACATATATAACACTCACTTGGAGGTAAACTTGTGTGATCCCTTCAATGAAATCTAACGCTGATTCTTTGAGTATACTCAGCAAACGAAAGGTTTTAAATGCATTGTGTCATGATCTCACAAATTTCATCTCTCATTGAATTTTGCAGGACAATAATGTGAATAAATCAGTCGTCCCCATGTGTTCCCAGATAACGTGCTAATCGTCTTCTATCATTATTCTATAACAAACTAATCTCTGAATTAAGTTGATGTTGGCAAAATCTATATATAATATCTTTGTTTAATCTAACATGTCGACATCAACAATTGTACCAACTGTTTCTGTTTCCATAATGCAATCTGTACCAAGAGCTTCAAAGATCCGTCTAAATGAGCAATAGATGCTTCGTTTCTGAAAATTTAAAGGGTACAAATAAAATGCAAGATATTTAGAGCCTTAGGTCCAGGACCTAATTTACTAAATGAGGAGACATCTTTTGATTGCCGCTTCTCCAATTAAATTAAAGTAACAAAATACGTATGTGTACCGAAGCTAGCAATTTAGTTTGGATTATCTTGGAAATAGTTGTGAAAGAAAATAATTAACGAATCACTTTGGTTGACTGTGGTATAGAAGAATGGTCATCCATGGATTTCTCCCGTTCGGAAGTAATTTAAAACTCCTTGCCACAGGGGTGCATAAATAAGCAGCCACGTCCGACCGGAATGTGGATCTCAAATCTGGTACCACGCTCTCTCCACGTTAAAATGCACCTATCTTTTGTATTTCAAAATAGTTAATTTAAAAAGTTTTCGTCTTGAAAATACATGAAATATTTACCGATGGACGTCGGGAAAGCACCAATCAACCAACCGAATATCCTTCCAGTTTATCCGACTCGGATTTATCGAATACTTCCGTTTTTCATTTAATCATTTGGCTGCATGATTAAAAATGCACCGCAGGTTCATAAATCTAAAAAAAGGTTGGTCAGAAAACCAACTAAGAATTTCAGACAAAAATACATTGTTCCTTGAACGATTATTTCAAATGCCATTGAAAGCGTTATAGTATATGTTCACCTTCTATGTTGAACGCTTGCAATACACACGACTGGATAAACGTTTTATAAAATAGTATTTTTTATACCTACGTTGGATATTCAGCAAAACTTTCTTATGACCATTTATTTACGTAACCAAACTATTAAAGTAACATGAAGGTGAAATAGCAGATAGTAAATACGTTAAGCAAAGTGAAACCACATGAAACAAGCGCATGGATAGAAAAAGACTCGCATACTTAAGAGGACAGAATCAAAATACTTTTGAATATAATCTAAAAGCAATCATCTCACGAGTGAAATATAAGTTTACATCATTTTGTTCAACCTTTTGTTTTGTTTTGTTCTTTTAATTTTCTTTGTTAACGTTACATGTTTAACAAATGATCTTAGGAGGATCTTACTTCACACATAACGTTTCGTATGATCAAAGCGTTAAAATTGCCAATGTTTGTTATGTAAACGACTAAATTCAAACATTTAACAAGAGCTTACACTAAATCTGTCTACATAATTACAATATATCGGGTATGAATAATGACTTTCATATTTAAAATTTGGCAAGTAGGTCTAATTGGAATTGACATTTTGTATTTAACACTAAGAAGATGTTAATGTCAATCCCCTGAGTCTGTGTATCAGCATATTAATCATAAAGTATGACAGAAAACAATTATATCCTACTGATCTTTGATAATCTTCCCCTTAGTTCAACATGGGTAATAGCAGCGGTATACCATCGACATCTGACTATGCGCCGTTTATTGTAAATGGTACAAATCTCGACCCTAGTGTTCGAGAAAACACCGGATTAGTCTCTGGTATAATGTTTGCATCTGGAGTTTTAGGAAACATGTTAGCTCTCATAGTGTTGATTCATTCTGCATCGGAACATAAAAAGACAATATTTTATCGTCTTGTAGCTGGATTAACAGTAACAGATTTAGTTGGGACATCGTTAACGTCACCAGTGGTAATTGCAGTGTATGTAAATGATAATCAATGGATAGGTGGAAAGACCATGTGTAACTATTTTGGCTATGTTATGATATTTTCTGGTTATGCTACCATGTTAATTATTTGCAGTATGTCCGTTGAACGTGTTCTTTGCATTAGATATCCATGTTTTTATCGAGCACGATCATCATCTACGCATGCGACAGTGATACTAACGGTTTGTTGGGCTTTAGCGTCATTCATTGCATCATTTCCATTTATAGGATTCGGAAAGACGGTGCTACAGTATCCATACACGTGGTGTTTCTTTGATTATTACAACACTAATCCGGTGAATAAAGCTTTTAACTATTTCTATGCGATTTTTGCCATTTTAATAATATCAATAACGACTTGTTTCAACCTGACAGCGTTATGTACATTATTGAATAGATGTCGTAGGAATAATGTTTTAAAGGGATGTAGACAAAGTTTTAGGAAATGTAGCAAATCTCACAAATACACTGAATGTCAAATGTTGTCTCAACTTGCAGGGATAACTGTAGTATTTAGTACCTGTTACATACCTCTCATGGTAAGTTCTAAAACCCTCATGGGAAATTATCATTATTGGGATGAAAACTTAGGGTGTTCGAATATCACATGCTAATTAAAATTAAATTAAAAGGGAACCATGCAAACAGAAACATTAAGAACCGTTCATTTTTTTCAATCTAAATCATTAAGAAGAAGTCAGTAACATTTTCAAATGGTTCAAATAGAAAAGCAAAATATCACATCAACTATATATGCCTTAGTGATACCTAAGTGCATATTAATTCTATATGCCTTAGTGATACTAAGCCTTTCGGAATTTTTGGTCCTCAATGCTCTTCGACTTCGTACTTGATTTGGTCTTTTAATGTTTTTGATTCGACTTTCACTGATTAGTCTTTTGTAGACGAAACGCGCGTCTGGCTTACAAAATTTTAATCCAGGTATCTAGTTTTACCCCCGCTTTAAAAAAAAGTGGGGGTATACTGTTTTACCTCTGTCTGTCCGTCCGTCCGTCCATCCGTCCCATGAATATTTTTCGTCGCATCTTTCCCAGGAACTGCATCATAAGGATTTCTGAAATTTGGTTTCAGGGTTTATATAAGTCAGTTATACCGTGTGATGCGTTTTCAGATTCATCACTCAACAACTTCCTGTTTACCGACCACTTACATATTTTTACACTTTTAAAATTATCCAGTTGTGGCGGGGGTATCATCAGTGAGCAGTAGCTCGCAGTTTCACTTGTTTTTTAGCAGTGTACTTGCCCTGAGTTTAATAGATCAGCTTGTCGACTTTCTGAACGAATAAGACCCAAAAGTCTACATTTGAAATCGTGTTTATCCCCCAAAATTCTGAACATAGGAATACGATCAAAGAATCCTTGATTCATATCTGGTTCTGGTAGGACAAGGAGTGTTGTTGGGATTGCTAATGAAATAACTACAAGTTTCCAACCAAGAACAGACGAAAGTTATTTAGTGTAAACATTTTATAATAAGAAAAGTTAAGACATTGTGCAGTATCAAAATTTACGTATCGGCAGTTAACAAAACCGCAAACGTAAAAAAAACGGGAATGATGTATTGATAAACCTGTAAAAAAAATATTTAATGGAATTGTACCAAAACTAACATGCTAAAGCCACAATGTTAAACGGATGTTATTACTCAATTAAGATAAAGGTTCATTAAGTACTTTCAAAACAAATCTTTGAAATAATTTATAAAAGATTTTTGATAATTGTTACCACGTAAGATTTGAACGCAGTCTTGTTTAGTACATTTTTAACAAGACTAGCACTGCAAGTAAAAGCCAAGAGCAGTTTGTCAGTCAAACAGTAGTCAAAAGACATTTCAAGATGTTCTTTTTTCCTGATATGAATGTAATATTTTCTGCTGGATGTTAAACAACCATCACTTTATCCAAATCACATTAAGGTTCATTGGGAGAATAGCAAAGCACTACCTCTAACTGAAACCTTAGAAAGTAAAGAAAAAGATAAGAAATATAATGAGAAAGTAACTGACAATTTCATATTGAGAAATAAGTAAAGAATTATAAATATTATACATTGCCAAAATTATGTGTAATGAACTTATTAAATTTGTTTAATATGATGAATATGTAATTGGAATAAAGTATGATCTTCAAACTTATAACCATCGTAGATACAAAGGTACAACAGCCAATATGCAAGTGTTTATAGCTAATTACAAGATCATTGGTGTATTCACGTCTTTGTTAATTACTTATTTAGCTTAGTTATTAGGAGAATATGTAAATGGAATGGACCTCTTCAATAAACATCATAAATGATCAAGTTATTGATAATTATTGCTGTCATATAATAATTGATTATTCATAGTCTGTGTTCATTCCGTTTGCACAGTATGGCGTCACATGTACAACTCAAAATAGACAAGAAATGCGATTTATTACATAATTCAAAAGCATAAAATAATATTTTTAGGATAATGTATCGTAGTTGTTTTTGAGATTTTACGAATAATTTATTCATTTTTTGTTTTTGTTTTTTTTTTTTTTTTTTGTATACAAATATTGTTTTGTTGGAGTTAGTCCAGTAAAGTCAAACGTTGTATTTAAAGTCGATACACATCATTTACAGACAACATAACCTCTAAAGAGCTTTTGAATCGTCGACATGAAACATTACAGTACATTTAAGACAAAGCAATGCACCAACTCTTTGAGGGGTCCGTAGGTGATTTTCCAGTACCAATTTCTCCGACCTTCATCCCAAATGGCCTCTATTACAGGACCGTCTTATTGTATTTATTGTTAATTTGTTCTCGTCCTGGACATGTATGACATATTTGCAACTCAGGGTTAAGCAACATCATGTGATACGACACATGCATGGTTAAACAAATAAAAGACAAAAAAGTATTTAAAATACAGTAAGTGATAAGCATAGCAAGCAACATGCTCTCCCTAAAACTAAAGCATAAGATAAGCACTAAAACTTAGTGTAGTAAGCTATTAAGCATATCAACGCGACATTACAAAATTAAAAATAAATGACAAACTATCTGAAATTGATCTGAATGAACAGCATTATAATTTAGTTCACTCAAATGTCAAAATCGTCTGTGTAGATTATCATCTCTGCAAGTACCTCCCATGGTAAAAAAAAACCATCGGTGAACAAAATTCCTCTTCATAGTAAGACTGGACAATATCCCTGCAGATTCTACAAAATTGCACATTGATTGTTCGAATAAAACTATACTATTTGCTTTGAACATCCAGTAAAAGACTATAGATTATCTGATCATACTTTTTTGAGACCTCTCATATCTGTTTCTTTTCTTTTGTCTCATAACATCGCGTTGAAAAAAGCGTTTTTTGATAAAATAATGCTTCAAAATTGATTTACTCTATCTGAATATATATATATATATATAGTTTATATTTTCTCACATCAACAACTTTAACTAAATCTTTATTCTGTTGTAAAGTATGAAAAACACCAAATGAAAAGATGGAATAATAAGAAAGTGCATACTATAGTTCTTGTTTTTTTTCATTTACAACATAAACAATACACTGTCAACAGTTGTGCATAATATGTACGAATCCGGAAGAGTGCACCACTATGGTTTCCGCTAAGTTAACACTGGCGACTTTCAGATTTTGATATTCTTCGGTATATATATATATATAAATGATATATTTCTTGGTGGAAACAAATACCCTTCCTTACGATACACGAGCACGAGGTCCTTTGTTTGCAAGCGATGCTAAGTTTGGTAGTCTTGGATAATTATATAATTAAATTTAATTGATGCACCATATATGCAAGAACATGACGATTATGAGGTATATACTTCATGTTTGCAATCCTTTCTGTATGAACCCTTAGCCTAAACACCAGAGGCTTCTTCGTCAGTTGTACATTCACTATCTTAGCATACATGTATTAGGAGAAATAAAACTGCTCACATTTTTGTCACCTATAACATTAACTATGGTATTTCAATATTTCAACTAAATCAGAAATGTTGCACTATTCTGTAACAAATCGTATTAAATTAGTATCAATCAATGGTATTTGATCTTAATCAATTATTTTTCTTTTCTAGATAAAGATTCTGATTAATCAAAATGAAACATATCTCCGAAACGTTGGGTCAGATTTCACGGTTATCCGGATTGCATCTGTCAACCAAATATTGGATCCATGGGTTTATATTTTATTAAGAAGAGAACTTTTATGGAAAGTTGTTAGGTTTTGTAAAAAGCGTGACAGTAATGACACCATACCATCAGTTATTCAGAAAGCATCGAGGAGTCACATATATGAACAATCGTTTTGTTCGTTCTGTTTTCATTGCTTATGTGATCCTCCTGTAAGTCTGAACAATATGGACTCCAAACGTTCAATGTCTGATCTACGACTATCAGCAATTACATCAGTGACGCCACCTGGTGTAAAAAGAGCAATTCTCAAACTTGTTTCTGAAGACGCAATTAACACCTCTAATTATTTAATAGACAGAAGTTGATAAGGTCAAATTCTTTACTGAGCTACGTGTAATTCTACTCTTATGTCCTTATTTTGAAAAACAAACAAACGTAAAAACATGTGATATAGTAAATCATTATGGAGGTACCGGTTTTTTTACAAATTTTATGTAACAGGGGAGTGTGAATGTGATAACTAATGGCAGCCACTATCAAAATAAAACCAAATAAAATGCAAAAACATTGACATTGAATATGTATGGAATTTCGGAGTTTTTGTTATAGAGATAAGACAATGAAGTTTATCAATTTTGTACTTGTTTATCTATATTAATCATTGTTAATTATTACAGTCTTTGTTGTTCAGGTACGTTTATTACGTGCCTTTTCCTCTTTTGCTTCCAAATTAAACGAAACACCATAATAAATCTATACTCACTGTATTGCTTGTTTTTTTTTTTTATAGAGATAAGACAATTTATCATTTTTGTACTTGTTTATCTATATTCATCAATGTTAATTATCAAATTATTCATAGTTCAGGTAAGTTTATAACATGCTTTTTGCTCTTTTGCTTTCAAATTAAAAAGAAAAACACCATGATAAATGTGAAACAGGAATTATATTTTTGTTATAAAGAGTTCTTTTAGTTCAACGATGTTTAAATTAAGTGGTTGGCAAACACTTTAAGTTCTCGTATTGATAGACTAGTACCCGCCGTTATTTGACATATTTGGCAATACCGCATGCTTACTGAATATTTTACGAAGGTAATAAACCTATGTTGTTGATGATTTTCAGTTTTTTGGCGGAATTTCTCGTTATTTCATACTTTCTCCTGTCATTTGAAAACCAAATCGAAAGGAGGAAAATGTCCATATATATCCACGTTCACAGGACAACTTCAAACACTATCATTTGTTTATATTAAGCAATTTACCATCGCACAAAAGCAACACTTCAGTCAAATACATACTGTATTTATTAAGTAATTTCTACATATGCATTCATAGTGAATGATTTATTGACAACTGTATCTGGTGTACACGGGTAAATGGTGTTTATATCGAGGTAAATTTATGCATGCCTCGATTGAAAAAAAACCCAAAACAAACAGCGTTCCTTACAAAAATATGGATCAAATGGTTGAGATAGACAGAATGTTTCAGAAAGGAGCATTTGCTGCCAAATTCACGCCTACAAAATTGATTCAAACTTAGATTTGATATAATATGTACTAAAACGTAATTCACAACTACATAAGATCCTCCAAAAAAGGATATTGTATGGAATCATTATGAAATATCAACTCTTCGTCTGTATTCCTGTTTGGACGCCATCTTATAAACCATCGACCTCCAAGGGTGACTAGGGAATAGAAGTATGGTCACTTTGGTCTTCTTCAGACCGGCAGTAAAACCCTCGCCAAAGTGGGGCGTCCGTTTGGCTGTGCGTGATGTATCAAGTACGCAGCCACGTCCGGTCAAAATGGGGACGTTAAACCCGATGCCTCGTGTAGAGAGAGTGCCACGCTCTCTACACGGTAAGAACCTTTTCAACAACTCTTTAAATTAAGTCGTTGGCAAAGACTTGAAGTTCTCGTGTTGATAGACTGGTACCCGCCATTATATGACATATTTGGCAATACCGCATGCATACTGAATATTTTACGAAAGGAATACACCTATGTTGTTGATGATGTTCAGTTTGTTGGCGGAATTATCTCGTTATTTGATACTTTCTTCCGTCATTTGAAAACCAAATCGAAAGGAGGAAAATGTCCATATATATCCACGTACACAGGACAACTACAAACGCTATCATTTGTTTATATTTAGCAATTTATCAATGCACAACAGCAACACTTTAGTCAAATACATATTTTTAAAGTAATTTCTACATATGCATTTATAGTGAATGATTTATTGACAAGTGTATCTGGTGTACGCGGATAAAGGGTGCTTTCTTTTTTGTTTGGTCCTATTTCATACATAAAAACATATAGATAGATTAAATATAAATCAATTATACTCAAAACCTGTAAGACTATTTTTCGTGGAAGAGCAAATTAATCATAAATCGGTCTTCCTGCTGCTGCTTTCGCTAGTTTCACTTTATTCAGTTGACATTCATTTCAATCATTGGTGATTACATGCGCAACCTATCTTCTTTCAAGACAATAATATATCATCGATGTTATGAGCTGATTTTTTTTTTACAAAATTGAACAACAATTTATTATTCCAATATTCTGCTTTTCTTTACGTGTGAAACCAAAAATTCGTACCTTATTTTATTGTCTTAATCATGTCTAATACCTATACAAAGAGAAAATATAGAGAGCAAAAAAACTACAATGTGTACCTCTTAAACTGTTAAAAGTAGGTACACAACTTTAATGTGTGTGCAATCATTCTGTGATGTTTCAAGAATCATGGTTCAACACAGTATGAGGAAATGATTACACAATTTAAGTACACACTCGACCGACTTCGTGCAACCCAATCAAAAAAGTGAGAAAATCGATTGTACATTTTCTTCCGATCGTTTTGAGTTTAAATAATCTTTTCCACTGCACGTGCGTTATTTCAGCATACACTTTAATATTCGAAAACTACTTGTTTATATGTTTATTTAAAATTTGAAATATATTCAATCGTTCATTCATTCATGTTTACATTTTATAGAAGTCAATGTATTGAATTCAGAATAAATAAACTATGGAAAACTGGATATCAAAAATGTTTACACAGCATTTTAGTTTTTTTTTAACTGAGTAATTTACGACGTATCTGTTTGATAATAGCTATTTTTTCATTCACAAATTCCGGTTTTAAAGAAATATTGCCAAAATTTCTTATCTTATGGAGATAACACTCGTAATAACTTTCAAATATCAGTGAAGACTATCAGTCTTTATCCAAGGTGTTTGATTATGACATCTACGACCACCTTGTATTGAGATGAAATCTTCAGACTTTTTTCATATAGAAAATTTAATAGTATTTGAATTTCAAATATGACGAATTTTGTATTCCCTTTTTATAATTATAAATAACACTGACTATATAGGAGCTAGCAATATAAAAAATAGATTTATTCATTTTCAAATTCAGAGCTTTATGAGTCAGTTCACTAAAATCGTATTATCTTAGTATTTTCAAATCTGTATACTGTTTATTTATTGTTTCCAGATATCTACACATTTTTACGTGAAAAAAATTTCAGTAATTACTGCTGGTGTGCGTTTTCTTGATTGTACTTTCCCTGTCATTTGTGTCATCCTTAGGACATCAATTTTAGCCAATATTTGCGGACCCAAACAGGGGTGTTATAGAGTAGTGGCCTGTTTATGACGTCCTTACACTAAATCCGTTGGATGTGTAATGAATGATTCCTTAGTCTGGGAGGACATGTTTTATTTATACTAGTGAGTTGTAATTGGCTTTCAACTAGCTTTCAGTAACTGCGAGTACTCTTATTTCGTTGCTTTGTGTCTATCGTTTTTATGTTGGTTGTTTTTTGTGCCTCGTACCAATTTTGAGTTAAGCCAGTTGCAACTGATTCTTACAGTTTGTTTTATGTTGTACTATTACACCACTGTCCCAGGTTAGGGGAGGGTTGAGCGCTCACATTCATTTTTAACCCCGCCACATTCTTTATGTGCCTGTCCCAAATTAGGAGCATGTAGTTTAGTGGTTGTCGTTGGTTCGTGTCTGTCATATTTGTTTCTCGTAAAGTGCTTTGTTATAATCAGGCCGTTAGTTTTCTCAATTGAATTGTTTCATAATTTTCATAGCCTACTATACGATATAGTTTTTCTCATTGTTGAAGGCCGTACGGTTGCCTATATTGCTTACATCCACTTCATTTGAACTTTGGTAGATAGTTGTCTCACTGGCAATCATAGTTTTTTACCACATCTCCTTGTTTTTATATTCTGTATAAATAAATGTAAAAAATTCTTATCTAATAATGATAAATTTTGTAAAAACTTTCAACTATCAGTGACGACAACCAGTCTTTACCCAAGGTGTTTGATTTTGACATCTTCGACCACCTTATATTAAGATGAATCTTCATATTTTTTTTTCATATAGAAAAGTTGAATGTATTTTAGTGTATAGGTGCTAACACTAAATATATTAAAATAAATAGGCTAAAAAGTAAAATAACAAAAATACTGAACTCCAAGCTAGCTATAAAACCAGGTTTAATCCACCATTTTCTACACGAGGAGGAAATGCCTGTACCAATAGATATAAGCAGATGTGGTATGAGTGCCAATGAGACAACTCTCCATCCAAGTGAAAATTTATAAAAGTAAACCATTATAGGTTAAAGTACGGTCTTCAACACGGAGCCTTGGCTCACACCGAACAGCAAGCTATAAAGGGCCCCAAAAATTACTAGTGTTAAACCATTCAAACGGGAAAACCAACGGTCTAATCTATATAAAAAACGAGAAACGAGAAACACTTATGAACCACATCAACAAACGACAACTACTGAACATCAGATTCCTGACTTTGGAAAGGTGAAAACAATTGCAGCGGGTTTTCACGTTTTAATGGTACCAAATCTTCACCCTTTTTCTGAAACAATAGTGTAACATCACAACATAGAAAGACACACTATAAAATATCAACTGAAATTGCTTAACTCAATCAAAGGACATATTAACACCAGTGAACATACACTGAACAAATAAATTTGATCTATGATACAATGTAAATACAAAATAAATAAACTAAGGGAAGAATAATAAAAGTAACATGTTATACCGCTGTGAAATGTCAAACAATTTAAGAAAAACAATATGCTCGAACAAAAATATCAGCCATTTGCAATAACTTTAAACACAGGTAAATGAAAATAATTTTGTTGTTAGGTATACGTGTACAGTTCAAATAGAGAAGAATTATTTATACAAAATAATTATGTTGGGGTTTTTCTCTCGGAAAAGAAGAACAGCTGATGCATTCGCCAATTCCAGATCACATATACATGTAAACTTTTCTATTTCGATTACCCTTAGTATTGGGACTTAAGTTTGATACTAGATCTATTCGCCTTTACTAGCCAGGATTTTTTATTTGAATTTTGTTCTCTAAATCTGGCACATTTTTTTTCTCATTGTTGAAGGCCGCACAGTTGCCTATAACTGCTTACATCCACTTCATTTGAACTTTGGTGGATAGTTGTCTCACTGACAATCATACCACATCTCCTTATTCTTATATACAATTAAGATGTTTGATTTTCGTATTACTAACGTATACTAGTATGTAATGTTTGGTTGTGTGTTTTTCAGTGCATGAACCGTTGGGTGTTCTTTAGTGGAAAATTGTGTCCCTCCAATTAAGACTTTAAGTCTGACTTGTTCCTTTGTTCGTAAAAGGCAGAATTTA